AGTATCCCTCTCAACTAGAGACTCTTTATACCTTTACAAAAACTTTAGCCTCACCCGATCCCTTATAGAGTCGTGACTGTACGAGCGCCTTTGACACTGATGGGTTCTCATCCAATGATGAAACAAAACGAAAAATTAGTCAACACTTTTGCGCCAATGCGCAACATAATTGGTGGGGGCGGATTTGCCACGACTTGAGTTAAATCTATCCAATCATAAAAAGACTCAAAAGCTTCCTTTTACCTGTAAAGATGTTTGTCTCCAATAATCAACATCACACCGAACATCCACCTCCAGGGCTCAAATTTCACCCATTCTGGAGTCTTGGGATCCATTTGGAGAGATCAATTTTTTTTTTTTTTTAGATTCTGGTCTGACGACATCTGCAACCCCATCGACCCACTCATTGTCTTTGTCGGCGTCTACAGCATTAATAAACTGCATACCACCCGACTTTTTTAACTACCGATAGAAGGAGAATCAAAAAACTGCGCCTCAAACAGTGATAAATCAGAGGTATGCAGATCTGTCTGCCCGATCAATCATAGAAGAGTCACGCCATTACCTCCATGGCACACCATCCTCTAAACAGAGTCACTCCAGATTCATTAGGAAAAGGCATTTCCGTCGACAATGGTGACGACCACCTTTTTAGGTCTATTTTGATTTATGTAGGCTTTCAAACGCCTACCCAAGGCACTCCACTCACGGATCGACAGAGTACGGGACCAAAGACATACATGCAAACTATAATAAAACACTAATAAAGAGAAACAACCAAAAACCCAAACTCCTCCTAAGCGTTCAGCCGGCAACTCTTCGCGCCTGCAAAAAGCAACAAAACAATAAAGTGAAAGAAAAATGAAAACAACACACAATAACCCACAAAAGAATAGACCACTAGTAAACACATATTCTTTCCAAAGAGACACCATCCAATAAAAAAAAACGAGAGAACAATTAAAGAAAACTACAATTTAATTAGTAAAAAAAAGAGAATATGGTTCCAAGAACATACCAACTTGAATGTATAAGCCAATTGATCTTTCTGTAATCAATTTGGGTATTATAATTACATTCAGTTCATTCCGACACATCAATGTCCTCGAGAGAAGCGTATGTTTGGCTTTTCTCAACAAGTGAAATGACGGTCAAAAGAAAAAACAAAAAAAAACAGATCATCTCATGTGGGTTATTAAATCATATTCCGTTACAAAAACTTCAGATAAAA